GTTCAACAAAACTACTAGCAGGGATCGATAGGAGAACAGCTGTACTCAACTGCTCTGAGCTGCATTGATCCAAGACAATGAGGACGTACAATTACTGTAAGAATCGTCAGTGTACCCACCATTCTTAAAAAATCACTGAAGGCCACGCAGGACAAATGTTGTTGTTGCAGCGGCTTTTGTCAAAGATAAATCAATCTAGAGACCGTTTAAATAAAAGCTAATCTGTCCCCATTCAAATTCTGAAGCCGTGGTACGTACAGTACCTGTCTTTCACTGTATCGATTGTATTTTTCTTGCTTGGGTAGAGATTTCTGGATGAATGGAGAGGATGTGGGAGGATCCAGACTGAGTGTCTGCAAGCTGTCTGCTTTGGGTCAAAGCTGTCAATTTAGTGTGACTTTGGACTGGCATTTCACTTTCATTGTGCAGACAGAATTTGGGATTAAAGAGTACAGACGCAGGCAGGAGGGCGTGCATGCGTAGGCTACAATAACCTACACACAAAAAATGTAGCTGGACTACTCTGTTTGTGAGTGCCTTTGCTGATAGTAGCTCTAATCCCATGAGCAGTTTTGCAATACTCTGCTAAGGGATTACTCATGCCCATAGGCTAGAGAGCTGGACTGAGGCAATGATCAGAGCATCATATTTCACATGCAGCCTTTTAATTGTCTTTAGGATGCACACAGGGGATCAAAGGACACGTGAAATTATGACTGGATGATATAATGATAGCAGTAATGCGTTGTTATTGTCCCCTACAGTGGAGCCTTTTGGGCTCAGCTTTTATCTTTTATCCCTTAGCATTAGCTAATTGGTCCTGAAGACAGATGAAGATGAATGAGATTGTAAACCTGGCAGGTGGCACATAAGATGAGCACTTCGGCCTGAACCATTCTGGAAAGAAGACACTTTAGTATATATTGTACACACTTAAGCAGTATTTAAATATGTAAGATGCTGGACAACACATTTTTAACCACAATGCAGACACTGGCTCACCCCTGGGAGCTGCTCTGCTGACCACTGACATCTGAGTGCCTTTGTTAGAGGAAGACACTGAACTAAAAGTATGTCTTTGTATTTCTAGTTTTTCCCTGACTGTCTGGCCATTTGAACTATCGGCCTTCTCATCACAGCCTCGCCTCGCTCGCCATTAAGCTGCCCCCCACCGCCACCCCCCCACCCCCCTCCACTGCATTATCTCGCATCTTTATCATCCAGTCTGAAAAGACCTAGCACTGCTTGGCCCCCTGGGAACAGGAGCAGAGCTCTCACCAGCTAAAGGCACAAATGCACTGTGGCTTATGCAGTCCAGTGGAGTCCACTAAGTGCTTTCTCTATCTGAAAGATATGGAAAAGACCCAGCCAGACATGCTGTCTCATCCTTGTCACTGATGATATGGTGAAATGGAGAAAGACACGGGTCGAATTCACCTATCAGGCACTGGACTGTGGGTACACGTTTCTCATGACTGATGCACTTTGTCAGGACATGATGAAGTGACCATTATAATGCAGTATGAGTTATAAAGAGCTTGTTTGAGAAAAAAGAAGGATGTCAAAATGCGGTGTCACTGTTTTGGTACAGCATGCACTTAGTTGTTTTCATCTATGCCAGAAAGCAGGGGAGGGCTATTAGACACACCATCTGCTAAAAACAAACTCGACTGTGGGGTTTTCACAGCACATCAGACCGGGTCATGATGTAGAAATCTGCTTCTTGAAACCTTCACAGGATGATGGGAAACTTTTGAAAATAAAGAGGCTCTACTGCACTGTGCTGTCTGTGATTTGAGACTAAGCTTCTGCCCTGTGGTAATATAATACAGCTGAAATCAGCATTATCGGGGTCCTGTGGGTAGATCCCTGTTGTGAACAAGATTTAGGACAGGCACCGATCAATTACTTAGAAAGGCAATTCTAGACATCTTGAGGAGATTCTGTTTCACTGTTCCTACTGCTCAAAGCCCAAACTTCTTTTCTTGCCTTAAAAAGTTCATAAACATTTTATGATTATCCACCAGCAAAACAGAGAAGGATAGTGTGTTACAGAGGGGATTAATGAGAGTGAATGTGTTTGACAAAGATCAGAAAAGACTGTAACATGACTGGTCAAGAGGAGAATGTCCACTCTGGAACTAACGATGTGATGAGATCTGCACTGTTCGCACTAAGAACATAGAGTGATTTGTTTCACTGGTATGGACACGGCTCAGCCAGACTCAAGACAATAAGAGACAGCTATTCTTTCCTCTTTTAGGAATCAAAACAAAGTCTGTGTGTGCGTGTTTGTCTGTGTGCACCTACACAAGTCTGAGCTTGTCTGGCACACTATTGTAGACCATGCGGTTTGTTTACTTTTCGAAAGAGTGCAGTAAAATACTAACTAGCCAGTTCATCATGTCACATACATGGATAATTTTTTAGCTTTCACAGATTATGTTTATTTTGCAATAGCTTTTTTTCCAATTGCAACACTTTTAGCTTTGGATTTTTAAATTCTGCTTTTATTCCAAATTCAGTTTCGCAACGGATTAGGCCAATTTATGTATTCAATAATGCTCTCGTACATAACAAAAGAAGATGTTTTCTTTTCATGTTTTGTACCAGCAGTCGCCAGCGAAATAAGAAAGGCCTGAGCAGCAAACAGACAAAACTAGGCGGCGATTTTTTTTTTTTTCAAACATTATCTCATGAATTTTTCAGTGAATTCGTGAATGAAAGTGCAAGGCTCTAGTTTTGCTCGCCAAGCGAATAGTGAGCCCTGTTTCTTCAGGATTAAAAATAGCTGCATGAGCCGAGCTGTGCTGAGGAGAGTGACGGACTTAGAACTGAGGTCTGCATGATGTCCCCACAAAAACACAGCCTCCAATAATGTTAAAATATCATCAGCAATACCAACACGGGGATGCAGGAAATCCTACAAGATACATGCTACCTCTTACTTCAGGACTAATAAATCTTTTGGTGAATTGTGTCTCTATTGACAAACTGTAGGATTAAGTTATTTTTTTATCCAGTCACTGGCTATGAACGCTACTGGGCTTAGGCCTGTAATCTATTTATCATCACTCCAACCCATCATATCAAATATGCAGGTATTTATTATAGAAATAGGCCTGCATGTGGGAGCTGCTCACAGGCCATTGAAAGTTCAGCAGGCTATTTGTTATTGCATGCTGCATCTCATCTGAACCATCCATCCCAATCTCATCAACCAGAGAACAGTGTAGACTAGTGGGAAAACAGTGGATAATATCTGATGTTTCGTCAAAGGCTAAACCTGTAAACCAAGTCCGAATAAATTCAGTTTGAAGATGTCTAACATTATTCCCTTTAGCGTGATTGTTGTGACAGCTGGTTCACTGCCATCCTACGGAAGTTACTCAGTTGCATCTTTGTGTTTTCAAACCCAGAAGTTTGAACTCAGCTGCCACACAGGTCGTCTGTCGTTACGCTAAATCTGTGACAAATGGACTCGGCTGCTTCTCTCAGGCTGTATTTGCACCTAAATTAGTATGTCATTGTGTGGACTTGTTAATGGCTGGAATTAAACCTAATGTGATTGAAACACAATAAATTGGTAAATAATGAGACTTAACTGCGAAAAGCGCCCGCTTTACCTGTGGATGCAGTTTCCATAGCAACGGGAGGCCTTTTCCCGTAGTCCTGGAAAGGATGAAATTGTTGATCCAGGTCGTCCGCCGCCTCGTTGCCTCTCGGCTTTAATTCTTCACGTAGCTCGTCGAACCGGGTCGGTGTGTTCCCACACAGGCCGTTCCTCTCATAGTCATCCCCAAACCACTTCCCTTCCGAGCCTAGCTCCTCACCGGGCTGAGCAGACATGCTTTTTTGCTGTTGTCGGACAAAAGATATACTCGCCGCTAAGCTTCTTCTTCTCCTCCACTACCGTATACCGTATGCTGGACTGCGCAAGGATGGTTGACGGAGACAAACACACAACAATGCAGCTCCTGGCTGGCGTCTGTCAACTGAGCCTAGGGTTTGTAGACGCCACAGATGAGGCGGTGTGGTCGGTCGGGGAGCAGGAGGAGAGGAGTGAGGTTGATTGTTTTAGTTCACTGCTCCGACGGTGACGTCATGGTGTCCGTTGGCACTTTATTTGGGGCAGAGTCAAATATGAAAGGCATTTTATCTTTTCAGCGTACAAATGAAGTCAAGTGCCTGACAGTGACGAAGTGAATGACAGCAACAGCTTGGTGTGGTGAAACAGGCTTCAGTGACTCTAAATACAGATAAGTCAGTAAAATTGGACGCATGGGCCAGGGGGGGCATGATAAAGACAGCGGAATTCCCAGGTCAATAATACGTAGTGAAGATGTTAAAAAAGTAGCTGTAACTTCTAATTTGTTGTGTTTGTGTGTGTTATTGTTGTTGTTGTTGTTGTTTTTTTATTATAAACGCGTAACTATGAAATAAACAAAACCATTGTGTATTTCAGGATGTTGTGAAAATTTGTCCTGCAGTGCGGCGCCCTCACGTGGCAACTCAAAGTATGACCGCAAAAGTTTCAACATGGCTCCTTAGCAACCAGACTCTCTTGCCTGGACACAGACTGGTGCCAAACATTGCTGAACTCAGATGGGCCAAAGAGTTTGTATTTTTGTTGCAGAAGTCCGCTGGTGTTGGTGTTGTTCGTCCTGGACAAATAGTGTTCATTTTATCCGCTATGCAGGCTTGAATTTAACATATTAATTGAATTTAATACAGCCATTTAGCTAACAGTTCCAGTATATGCGTCTTGCTAAGTAGTAGCATAACTTTAGCATGAATGTGTGGTAACATTTAGCTTAGCACAGTTTTGTATTTTTGCTAACTAAACGCAGTTATTAGTTACATATACCTCCCAGCGAGCTAATTGCCGTGGCTTTTTCAATATTTGTCCAAGACTATCAAAGGAATAAAGCAGACATTGTGCTCTGTAGTGGTAAATAAAGTGTTTCACCTAAGCTGCAGTATATTTCAGGACAAGCGATATGATTCACAGTGAGAAACAAAAGCACCGTAGTGACGAGGACGTGGTCAAAGAACTGGTGAGTATGAAACTTTTGGTTAAAATTATAAATTACATCCAGTTCAATATCCAGTTTTACAGCTGCCATTGACTACTTTAAATGCCTCAGTTGAACAGCTGATAGTTTTCAGTGTATTCTTCCCCTTTCATTTCTTTTTTCATTATTATCCTGTACAACAACATTCCCAACAGTGCATGGTCAATGGAGTATCCTATGAAAAAATTGCACAAGAAGGAAGCAACATCAGCTCCCTAGAGATCTTCTTCTCTGGTTTTCCCCGCATGGTTGGCCTTTCTATCTTCCCAAGGCTCTGCCAGCTCACCATAGTTGGCCAGAATATAAAATACATTGAAGGTCTTGAGTGCTGTCCTCTGCTCTGGGAGCTCTGGGTTGTGCAGTGTCACCTGACAGTAAGTCTGTTATGTTGGTAAGATTTATAATAGTAGACACTGCCACTGCTGATAACAGTAATGCCTTGAATGGTTATAGTCCACTAGGGGTTTATATTATGAATATTTTGCAACTTATTATATTGCAATAGCTCTTAAGCCATATTGACTGTAACCACGATTCTCCCCTATGTGGCATTTAATTACATATCTTGCATGTATGTATCACCATATATGGATCACAACACATAGAAAACAGCATCCTGTATAAGTGAATTGTACAGCATAAATCACACATGTTAAACAATAATTTTCCCCATCTTCTTTTTATTGTAGGGAATATCTGGACTGCAGAATTGTGTACAACTAGAGAAACTCTACCTTTATGATAATCAAATTTGTGAAATAAAGAATTTAGAATTGCAGGTCAATCTAGAAGTCCTGTGGCTCAACAATAACTGCATAAGTCATATACAGGTTTGCACTGTAAATTATGAATCTACATACAAAGAGCAGGTGACTAATTAAAGGACAAACCTCTAACGTTAGTGGAGAAACAGGATGACAATGCCCCCAACCATAGGCATGAAGGGTCACTGAATGGTTTGATGAGTATGAAAATGATGTGAATCATATGCTATGGCCTTTACAGTCACCAGATCTCAACTCAGTTGAACACCTGTGGGAGATTTTGCACTGATATTTTAGACAGTGCTCTCCATCACCATCATCAAATCACCAAATGAAGGATGATCTGTCGAAAGAATGGTGTCTATCCCTCCTGTAGAGATCAGAGAATCAATGCCAAGGAGCATTGAAGCTGTTCTGGCAGCATGGGGTGGCCTAACATCTTTTTAAAGAGACTTTATGTTGGTTTTTCCTTTAATTTGTCACCTCTATCTATCTATCTATCTATCTATCTATCTATCTATCTATCTATCTATCTATCTATCTGTCTATCTGTTTATCTATCTAGCTGGATATTAATCATACAACATTCTACAATACAATGCGTTAACTTGTGCATTTCATTTCTGAATTTATTCATTTATTTATTGCATTAGCTCACTACAACTTGATTTTTACACAATTTATCATCAGTTAGTACGATAAATTGAAATAGGGGTGCATGTTTTGTGAAAATACTCCTTTTTTGATCAGCTGTCTGTCATGTGTGGTTGCTGTTCTCTAAAGGGCTTGAACACGCTTCAAAACCTCAAAGAACTAAACCTTGCTGACAACATTATTGAAAAGATTGGTAGGTTTCTACTATCCTCTCTATTTTCTGTGCAAAGTTTGATTGCAACACAGTGAGCTGTTTGAAAAAAAAAAAATCAAATCATTTTTAACTTCTTTTCAGGGCATAGCCTTGATCCTAATGTCAGCCTTCAGAATCTTAATCTGTCTGGGAACAAGATCAGCTCCTTTAAGGTAAGATTAAAAACAGAAATATGCTTTTGAAATTCCCTCTGTTAAATTTTCCTACTCACTTTGTAAAATCTTATTAAAATCCTTGGTCTCAAAAAAGGGCATTTCCAAATTCTTGTGAAATGTCGAGGTCTCGGCCAGTTCAGATTTTCAATCACATCTACAATGGACTGGTTGCACAAGGCCTTCTATGAGCTATTGAGAAGCATAATTTCAATTTTTGTTATTGCAGATTCAGCGATATTCACACATGATTGCCTCTTTTAAAGAAATTAATCTTAACAAACAATGCTTTTGATATGCAAGTTCGCGTTCATAGTCAATTATACATTTTGGACATACTGTAGCTGACACAGTCATGCAGAGCATTTAGAATGGGTCATTGTCTTGTCCAAGGTCATTCTGACAGGAAACACAAAAGGTTTTGTGGCTCTAAATTTGATTGGATTAACACCTCAGATCATGTTCCTGCAATCAGCCTTTTGTCCTACCCCGGTTGTCTTTAAAAAATGCAATTATTGTCATTCAACGTACTGAGTGTCCAGTACATTGCAAAAACCGCGGAATCAAAGAGGAATGTTTTTCAGTTCTTCAGAGTCTTTGCTCCTTTGCTCCAGGGTGACATTTCTTTTTAGTTGCTGTAAAGCATGTATGGAGGAACAAAAAGTCTAATATTTAGACTTCTTTTTCAGTGTGTAGTCAGCAAAACAGGGACTGTAGTTCCTTTAACACTATCCACCAATTACAATTTTTCTCAATTGCTTTGATGCAATTCACATATCAGAAACGTCATTCTAACGACTCTTAATACAGTTCTCTAAACAGTTCATCATTTCCCCACACACATTAGCATTTTCCATTTTCCATTGTGTTTGTACAAACACTATAATCATGACTCATATCTCAATTGTGTCAATATCTGTCAAATAATTGCAATATGATTTTTATTTGCCCATTGTTCAGTTGTAAGAGAAACACATATTCTTAACCTTGTATCACAGGTGCATGTCATAGATAGAGATGACAGACTGGATGCCTCTTGTGGGATTTCAGATTTTGCCCTGCAAAGTCATTTTTGATTTATACAGGTGTGGTTGTGTATATATATATATATATATATATATATATATATATACCATCTCTTTCTAATTAATACAAATGCAACAGTTACTGGAGCATGTATGCTGCATATTGTAAACTAAATGTCTGTCAAATCTGCTGTTTGTTTAAAAAATGTGAAAACAAAAAAAACAAGCTAAAGCTAAAAAAAAGTAAATTGACTAAATAGAATCTTTACGGCCACAACTTGCTTGGGATGGACAGAAAACATGCCCTCTTACTAGCATGTATGCTCTGTTGTTTTTGTAACAGGAGCTGACTCTGCTTGCCTGCTTACCCAATCTGAGAGTACTTGCACTGAAGGACCCCACATCAACCCCAAACCCAGTGTGTCTGCTGTGTAACTATGCCACACACGTTGTTTACCACATGCCAGGCCTCCAGCGACTTGACACCTATGACGTCTCAAGCAAGCAAGTCAAGGAAGCAGCTGAGGTATTGAGAAGACCACCAGGACTCTGTGTTATACTAACTGATCTCATCTGGGTCTCTAACGGGCTCTCCAGAAGATACCAAGTCTCTTGGTTTATTTAATCTGTTAAATGAGCACTGCAGTGAAATTGTTCTAATAATGATTTATGTTAGTTGCTAATGGTTTGCTTAAATCTCTAATATTTCCTAATATGTATTGAATGTCTCTTAGGTTGCTTCAGAAAAACATTTTACATCACAAATATTTTTTCTGAATTTGATTGTGCCAGTGCACAGATTTTTTCATATTTAAATCCAATACATACTTCTTAATAAATTGATAAATTAATGAAATGATTTACCTTTACATTACCTTACATGGAGTGGAATTTAAGATGAGGTTCTATTGTTTAAACAATGCATGTCCATACAAAACATATATTATACAGTTATCACCTGTTGCATCTCTACATTCTATGTGGCCTGTTGGATTTTTTTAGCCTGCAGTATGACTCTGTGCTTTTTGTTTTTTTAGTCCACTGTGATGAAGAAAATTATGTACTACAACATGCGTGTACGTACTGCTCAAAGGAACCTGGCAGAGACTCGGTTCAGTCTGATGGAGAGGAAGAAAACTCTGCTGCAGTTACCTGAAGAATGCGTTAGGACACTCAGTCATGCCCTCAAAAATGTATGTACAATGCTTCATACATTTTTAAAATTATTTTAGCAACTGTAACATGAGTACAGGATAAGGTATTAAGGTGGCATCTCCATCTTCAGATTGCTCTAATTGTTCAAAGTTTAGAGAGCTGTTGTCATTTGTACACATTCCCAGCTTGAACGTGAGCTCTCCAAGTTGCTGGCTGGTTGTAAGAAGTCCACTTGCACGTTGGAGGATGAACCAGGAGGACAGACCCACCTGGTGGAGGGTTCATCCGACAGATGTGATCCAACCACTGACATCAGTCATAATCCTGCAATGGAGTCCAAAATACTCATCAAGATGGAAGCACTGAGGGAGAGACTGACAATATGGACGAGGAGGCTGGATGAGTTAGTTTGCATACTTTGATAAGATACAGAGAAAATTTAAACATGCTTTGTACAATTTAATCTCTTGTAGCATAGTACATTTATCTATATTTAAGCATCTGAGTATGAAGTTGGTAATGAAGTATACCTTCAATGTGAAAAAATAATTTTCCTTCTTTTGTATTCAGGATTGAAGCCTGTTATGAGCGGGATTTGGCCCAAGCCACAAACATGATGGCGTATACAGTCCAGTTTTTGTTGATGGAGTTAGAAAGTGTTGGAAATATTCGTTTGGAGGAGGGATGCTCCACAGACCCTTGGTAATTATTTGGTATTATTATTTGTAACTTCAACCATCATGTAATTTACCATTAAAGATGGGGAAATCAAAAACAAACTTTACTAAACTCAGACTTTTCCTGCTATGTGCACAACAGGTTTACTTCCTGTTGCGACCTTCTGCTTTCCCGTTTCTCTCAGTCAGACTACAGGGTTCATGGCATCACTGGCATTAAGATCGATAGAGTTATCCGCATCTACAACAGTGCTTTGAGGCTTCGCTTTGAGGACAAACTTCATAGCTTGCTAGCCAGCGAAGACACTGGTATCTCTTCACAGTAAGTAAAACTGGACTGTAATGGAAAAGGATGATAACTGGGTTTTTAACAATAACCTTAAAGTTAATATTGTCCTTTGTAACAGGACTTCAGGTATTAGTTTAAATCTTACATGGGTCTAACTTTTTAAGCAGGAATTACAGACGTCGCCTGGAGCACTTGTTCTACCTAGCCGAAACTGAAAAAAACAGTGAGAAGGAAGAACTTTTGTGCATTCTGGAGGAGGGCTTCAAAACTGCAGAACAATATAAGGTGCATATACTGCTGTAATTGTTAGCTCTAAGAATCCACCCACACAACACCCAGAATGTATCACTCTGAGCATTAAGAGAAAAATTTGAGCTCATAAGTCACTACTCTACTCTCTGCAATGATGTAGAGAGAAATTATGAAAAGGAATTCCTACAAATCGAAAAAAAGTTTATTAAGCTAAATGAGAAGGAAGGAAAAGTTCATTAGTGTGAAACTCTTAATTTATTTAAGACTTGTATGGGAAATTTTACACAATAGTCCCCCTTTTGTTTACAGATTTAACTACACAAGTTATTGAATCTACTGATGTTATTTTCACATGTTGACTTTGAATTAGGCCTTGGGGAGAGAGGGTGCCATACCTTTATCCAACAGCCTGAGTGTGACCGAACAGCCCAGAATGGAACAGACTCTACGCCTGGCCAGCCACTGTAATTCCATGGATACAGTCCCATTCAGGCATGGTGGGTTAGTTTTGCTCACAGTATTATATCCTCTTATTCCCCTTAGCACACCGCTGTTTTTTTCTTTAAAAGCTGAAAAGCTAGTGTTTTCTACCCGTAGGTCAGATTATTGTTTCCAAAGTGTTTGTGGGTCACAGCATGCCTATCCGAGAGGGAGAACCAGTGGACAGAAGCAGCCATCCCAGAGTCTGCTCTGTATATCGCAATGTGGACACTAAGTGCAGAACTGCAGTGAGTGAAGGTATGTGGCATATCAAAAGGCATGAAAAGAATGATTTTTCAGTCAGTAGCTGTACAATGTCATTGCATTTCTGTGTGTTTTCCATTCAGGGAGACCTCGCTCCTCAAAAACTAACACTGGTCCTGAGTGCAGCCCCAGACGAAGACGGTGGTTTGTGTTTGACCATGAACTAGTCTTGCCTGAGTACATCATATATTTTGAATACATAACCGGGGTAATTAATTCATTGCTCTTGTTACTGTTTGATAACTTATGACATGCTACATGGGTTATTAATCCATGGACCAATTCTCTTCTACTTGTTTATGTGTCCTCTCAGATTGTTTGATATCTGCCCATTTGACTGTAACTTAAAATTATTCAAAATTGAAGTCTTTGTTAAACTCCCCTTGATCTTGCAATTAACATAATGAAGACCGCCTTGGAGATTTCAGCAGTTCATTTTTTTTAATTCGAGCAAAAATCAGAATAGTAAAATAAATGCTCAGTCATGCTGAACTCTGATTTGATCAAAATCAAGCAGCAAGGTTTTTACCTAAATCTAAGAGATGGTAAAACAGATCATTTTGATTTTGTTAAGAATTATGAACTTACCCAGCAGTTTATATACTTTTTGATGTGCTGTTATTAGAACCATGAAATACCTGCATTGCCAGGACGCAGCACAGACAGACAGGAAGCTCCTTCCAATGATATCATCTTGGACAAGGAAGTCCTCAACATGGAACCTGTGCTGAAAGCGCTGCCCAAGTTGTTGAGCTTGGATGACAAAATTCTGCTTAATGTGGCCAGAGCCAATGTCCTGAGTCAGATCACTGTAAGTATTCTGGCTCGTCACATGGCAGCTTCATTCAGAATTTTTTTCTAATTAATAATAAACTATCTTCATTGTTCTTAATCTTCAGGTACTGAACCTTCATGGCAACAGTCTGAGCAAGATAAAGGAGATTTCCCACCTAACGGCTCTGCGGCATCTTACTATCTGCTTCAATGAGTTCAGACGCCTTGATGACATTTCTCACATGGTAGGAGTGACAATAGAAAATTATGTTATTGAGTTTTTAATAGCAACTTGCCTCTGTAACACATTAACACATGTAGTACGGATTTACTTTGTTTTCAATTTGAACCATAGCATAAAGCGGAAACTTCATCCATTGTCTCTCTTACCAAAATCACAGCCAAACCTTGAGTTTTTGGATGTGAGCTATAACCACCTGGTGACCCTAGAGGGGCTGAGGGGGTTGGGACAACTCAAAGAGCTTGATGTTCGCTGGAACAAGTTGACCAAAGCCAGAGAAGATACGGCAGTGCTAAGAAAACATACACCTGCACTTCTCAAGCTTGACACTCGATACAACCCCTGGAACAGGGTGCGTGATCAACAATAGAATTAAATCTAAATACAAACAGGTTGAAGCTCAAAAATATGAACACTAATTCCATAGTTAGTATATAAATACAGTATGTGCTGCAATGTTCCATAAGTGACCTGCAATAAGGCACCACGAGGAGGTATACAGTGAAGCTGTTTTTCTCCTTTCAGCCGCAGGCAGCCAGACTGACCATGCTGGGACGTCTAACAACACTCACACACCTGGACGATGTGGTGGTAGCAGAGGAAGAGGCTGCTGATGCTGTTCACATGGCTGCTGGCTCCAAAATTAATGAGGTCACAATTGCAGATGCAGATATAAATGTTGATGTACTGATAATTAATGGTCAATTTTTATTTTCTTGGGGCAGGTCACAGTAAGAGGATGCTACAGTAAGAGGATGCTACATTTTTTATAAAACCAAATGTGGATTGATTGCTTACAAATAAGTGGTCACGTGCTTCAGTGAAGGTTTCAGTGTGTGAACATCCATATTTCAGAATGTACTGTAATTCAATCATACCCGGTGGCACTCTGCTCACAGGCATGCCTTCTGGCTCACTCGCGTACCAACAGTGATCGTCCCCGCAGTCTCAGCCTGCTGTCAACAGCCCAGCTCCTAGGTCTTCTCAATCCAGCACCCTGGGGGCTCAGTCAAGAGCTGGAGCCAGACTGGACTGCAAAGGTGAGCTTCAGTATGTGGGTTTCACTGTAAACGAGTGATTTCTAAAAATGCATTTGTAAAGTTTTAGGAAAGTGCTAATATCATGGAGTGACCAGACTGCATGATGTTTATAGTATGGCATTTATAATTTAAATTTCAATGCAGTTTTAACATCTTTGATAATGTATACATTTCTCATGAGTTTTTTGACCCTAAAACTTTTACCAGATCACAGCCCTGAACCTTGACAGCCAGAGGATTTCCAAGCTGATCAATCTGAATAAACTGGTGAACTTGCGCTGGGCCTCCTTTAATGACAATGACATCTCTAAAGTGGAGGGACTGGACAGCTGCCTGAAGCTGGAAGAACTTTCCCTAAACAACAACAGCATCAGCACACTCAGTGGTCAGTCACACTGTCAACTTGACAATAAAGATGGAAAATCACACCATCAGAATTTTTCTGTCTCTCTTTGCTTTCTGTTTCTTTAGGTCTGTCAAAACTGCATTGCCTAAATAAACTGAGTGTAGATGGGAATCAGCTCTCTAGTCTGGATGCTTCAGTCCTTGATCAGCTGCCCAACCTGTCCTTTCTGTCTGTGGAGAACAACCGTATCAGTTCCCTGCATGGTATCCAAAGGGTTCGCTCCGTTCTTGAACTCTACATCGGCAACAATGAGATTTCTACATCACGAGACATCTACTATCTAAAGGCAAGAGTTTAATAAACAAAAACATTCATGGTATACCCTATGACCTCAGAGAGAAATTAGTTCCTATGTGTCAGATTTTCCCTTCATTTTTATTGTATTGTTTTAGCCCATATGCCACATCTTCTTTTCAGGGACTGACAAACCTCATCATTCTGGATCTTTATGGGAATCCTTTAGTGGAGAGACTGGAAAACTATCGGATATATGTGGTGTTCCACCTTCCCTCCCTGAAAGCACTGGATGGGATTGCGGTCGTATGTGCCATTTGAACCTCTCAGATATATATTATATATATATGATATATATTGGTGGAAATGACATTATTATATCCAGTATTTTTGAATTGCTTTTTTTTTTCTAGGAAGTGACTGAGTGTGAAAGTGCAAAGGATATGTTTGGAGGGAGACTAACCCCTGACATGGTAGCTGAGAAGCTGGGCCACTCTAACTACACAGACATCACCTACCTCACCTTGAAGTCCTGCTCCATTAGGTAATAGCTGACAGATAAGCATGACACACTTCCAAAATGAACATAATTTTAGTGATTGATTATGTTGAAAAATTAGGCAATGACAAAAAGGTGTAATCAAAACATTTTTTCCCCCCCACAGGATGGTTGATCTGTCTCCAGCAGACCTGTTCAGTAGTCTGCGTAGTGTAAACTTGGACCACAACAACCTCACCTCTTTCTCTGGCCTCATTTACCTGCCCAACATCAAAGTACAAATTACACTGGTTTAAAAATCAAAAAATCTGGCTTTAAATGCAATTAAGTCATAGACAAATAAATAATCTTCAATGTCCTCTGCGCAGGCTCTGTGTCTGAACTACAACCACATTGAGTCCATCCTTCCCAGGCAGAAGACTCAGGCTCATCTGACAAACAGACAGATACTCTACAGCAAAGTCCACTCCAGTGGTTATGGTCAACAGAGCCCATCCAAAGGCAACAGGTAACACAGTTCTTAATTCAGTAATTTGTATGTTTTAACATTTTCCAATGTTACACTTTTGCCAAATGTGAAGTACGAACATCAACTGACGGTGTAGACTCTAACCATTAGGGGGCAGCACTGACCAGCCAATGTATGAACTGTCGTGACAGTTAAAAGATTTCTGTTACAGTTGTTGCCTACAAATATAAATACAGTAAAACTTAATTGTTAACACAGTTTCAAGATTGTAATTTGATTCAAAATATGTTAATATTTATTCTTTCTAGAGATATTGTCCCTAAAATAAACGGAATATCTAAATATTGGTTTGAATTGTCAGTATATTGTATATGATATGATCTTTCAGTCACATTATCCTTTTGTAGAACCCAGTGCATAGGCGCTTGTGCTGTGACAGGCATGCTTTTGTTTGCCCGGACTGTGATTGCCTTTATGTGGTCTGCACCTGTGAGGTCTGACTAGTTAAATGAGGCAGCAGGAGGCAGAGCAAGATGTTCATTTAACCACAGAGGTTGCAAACTGTCATTCTGTGACTGTGTTTAAGGGAAACTGGGCCCACTGGCAGCCTGGAGCCACTGATGGGCAGCCTGGAGGTGCTGCATTTGAGTCACAATGGCATCTCCAATATGGCCAATCTGCAGCTCAGCAGGCTCACCAATCTTAAAGCCCTCTTCCTTCAAGGTATGTATGGTTGACGTACTAACCCTCCTTCACAAAGCCTGCTAAAAATGCAGTGTATAAAGCCTGTGAAAAGGCAAGCACTGAGAGCAAAGTCTCCCATAGACCTAAGGCCAGGTGGGTGATGAGACTGGAAGAAAAGGATGACTGACTTTCTTTTCACCAGCTTTTGATGGGTTTTGATTGAGTTTTGCCTTGTTAGTGTGATTTGTCCCACCAAGTCGACCTTACTTGTCCTTTTTTTCCCTGTTTGCTGAGAAACCTTTTGAAGCTGTCTCTGTAATTTCAATGCTTTTTACACAAGGGGCAATAAAAAATACCTGGCAAATGTTTATATAACCTTAAAATGCAGCCTTTCATATTGTCTAGGGTGTGCAATCTACACTTGTATTTTTTGTTAGAAATAAATATTGTTTGACATGTCTTTCCATTGTTTTGATAAGGTTTGCCCTCTCACTAGGTAATGAGATCAGCCAGGTGGAAGGATTGGAAGGGCTTCACCAACTCAGAGAGCTTGTGTTAGATAGGAACCGGATCAAAGCCCTGGCTGAGAACTCTTTCATTGCCCAGAAGGTCCTACTAGAACTGCACCTAACAGAGAACCGGATCCGGGAGCTCAACCATCTCAATCCTATGACTGAGCTCCGCAAGCTCTTTCTTGGCATGAACAAGCTGCAGGTATTCTCCTCCAGCAGCAGTTGCCTCATAACATGCTGAATATTTTTAATGTTTATATTCAGGTTTTTAATAAAACTGCATATTCAGATTTTCAATTAAAGTGCCTGAATGACTCACACCATCCTGAGGTGACCTCCAAGGTCACAGTCAGCTTTTGTGTAGTTTCTGATTTAACACCAACTTTTACTGATTAGTTGTTATGCAAAATGTGTCAGATGTTTAAGAATGTATTTCATTCAGCATGCAGCAATATTACTTTTTCCTGCATTTGCAAAGTAAGACATGAAGTATAGTAATCATGAGTCATTACCACCCCACTGTGGCATGCGAGGGGTAGCATTAAGGAGAATCAAGTTTGATTGAAGGTCAGGGCCGTGTGTATGAAGAAAGAGGGGAACAATCAGGACAACGTGTAATCAGCTTCTCAGTCTGCATCTCCTTCTCACCCATGGCGAGTGATTTGCACTTTTGTTGCCAGTTCCCTCTTCCCTTTACTTCCTTAATGTTTTCATGTATTCAATTAAGACATAAAATACAGCAATCATCCCAGCGCAACAGTCCTCTCAGTGGGGGCGTCTTTGAATTGAAGCCAAATCTGAGCATAAACCTGGGAATGAGAGAAAACACCCCCATGCCCTGTTGTGGGGCCAAACTCTTTCATGAGATTAATGAGAGCTCACACATGTAATCTCTCTCATCAGCTGCTTCCATCCCCCTACAACAAAGTTATGAAAGGTTCAGGCCTGATGCATACAGTATGTCTCTATTATCAGAAACCAGTGGGAAAGAACAGTTAAATGAGGGGGTAGGGAGTGAAACTTAAAATAATCTTTGTTTCTCTGCTTTTTTTAGGACATCTCAGAGCTTGATAAACTAGAAGTTCTTCCTTCGCTGACGGAGCTTTCAGTTGTTGGCAATCCCGTGAGTAACATCAGTGTTTTGCATTGAACACAGTAAGATTGTGAAGTTGTGAATTGGTAACGCTTATTATCTGCAGTTAGTTTGCTATTATGAGCTTGCACAATGAAGTAGGTCCATTAGCCTTCAGTCTCAGGACACTTTGAACTCTTTCACTCACAAACAAATTATCAGAAGCATCACAGGCTCAGTTTCTCACTTGCACAATCCAAAACACTAACCCAGTGTAACTCTGTGGTTCCAAATTAAGCGATTACATGATGGCCCGTCTGCTGTGCTTCAAACTGGCCGGCATCAGAGACAAATCTGTTGACCAAATGGCAGGGCACTGTTGGCCCGCTGACATCACCCATCTGGAGCTCATGGATCAGGCCTGAGCAGAGCATGCAGCTCCCCATCGTCCATAGGGCCATGCTCAGCTGTGGTAGCCTCCCATCCCCCTTCTCTTCTCATAGGGGGGATTTAATCCTGCCAGGGGGTAGAGGCCAACAGCCACCCTGGAGACAATACCTCCTGCTGTTGACCGCATGAGATCGCTACTTCACCCATGTTCCCTAGCCAAACTCTTCTCCACTGGGCATCCATTGGCACACACTCATAACTTAATCATAACAGCAGTGTCCTGCAGGAACATACAGTTCTGTAACTGGAAAGGCTGGATTTGTGTGCTGGCCAGAGGGTGTCCGCAGCTGGGCAGGGAACTATCTGCTACTGTCATCTGGTTCACTAGAATAGCTGCTGGGAACATGATAACTACGTTGGGACCCACATAGCATCATATTAATCCCAGATGTCACAGGCAGACTTCATTCAGGCTACAATATTAAAATTGTTGAATGCTAGTTGAGGTCAGTGTAATTTATTACCTGTAGATTCATCAAATGTGAATTTTTGTTCTGCTAGGTGGCCCGCAATTCTCTCCACAGACCAGCAGTGGTGCTCCATCTGTCCCGCTTGCAGGTCCTGGATGGAGTGATGGTCACTCTGGAGGAAAGGACCAGGGCCGAACTCCTCAGTGGTGATCCATCAGTAAGAAGATATCATGCATTCTTACTTAGAAACACTCACACACGTATACACATACATACAAGGTTGTAGCCAAGTTATGTCCTTAGTGTTTTTACAGTATTTTTGTTACATTTTACAAATAAAAGTTGCCCTTGGATTGAATTTTATAAGGTGATTCCATTATATTTATATTTTTATATGCAATACAAATAAATTTACATTTTTTAGGCCAACAAAATAATAAATAAATACAGCCCTCAGTATTTCTTTTTGGTTTCTCATCATCGTGAGGCATGATTTATTGGGATTACAGACCTCAGTTTCTCTAAAGTGCTGGCTACAGCACTGCATATACACATTCATATGACACATATACATTTTTTTAACCTTTATTTATTCAGGGTATTGAAACCAAGAGGAAAGCCCTCTTTTACAGGAATGCCCTGATCCTGCTGGCCACAGAGCAGCTCCACTGGAGCAGTAAGGGTTGAGGGCCTTGCTCTTAACCCCATTGTTGATGAGGGAAGGACACTCAGAGTTAATCCTGCCTGTCAGAGGACTGAATTGACAGCCTTCTGGTCAAACACAAGCTCGTTTCTCTAACATTTAGGCCAACACTGCCTGAATGGAGTCACTTATAGCAAATTTAAGTAAGTAAGTTGGCAGGAAAGGAATCTGTTATCCCCACACTATGCTACTGTACTTCTCCTCTTGCATTTCAATCATGACTGATTTACAGATGAACAAGGACCTTGCTTACATAAAAGCAAATAATGGGCCTTATCATGTAAGATGTAGTCCAACTGAAAGAAACAAAATGACAACAACCAGATAGCAACCACCAAAAAAGGGTAAAAGCCTGGATCAAACTCTTTCAGTCTGACTGATCTGATGTTCATGTAATGAGAGACCAGGGCAGTAATTCTCCTGCAGCTCTGAATTAAAAGCAGCCTAAGCCTGCTGGCATCATCCTGCTGATTAGATGAAATGTGCCCGGCCGATAACGCACCAGTGGATTTACCCCCTATTAGCCAGGTCAACATGACCCCCTCTGCTTGTTAATCGTCGATGTGGAATGACAGAGCAGAGATCAAGGGTTTTCTCATTAAAAACACAAACACAGACCTCCTCTTATTGAATATCATAACTGCCATCTCAGTTGTCACTCTCAATCTATGCCTGTGACTGATTTTGTTTGAATTTGAGCATTGTTATTGATGAGTAGTAATTACTATTCCCCTGAAAGATGCTTATATATGTGGAAAAACAAGCAATCTAATCACCAATTCCCTGCCAAGTGTGTGGGTAGAGTGGACACACTGCAGTGTAGCCATGGAAGGGTGGAGGAAAAAAGATAAAAAATTATAATTAGGATTCATATGTTAGTGAGGTCGAAGACATTGAGTTTGCCCTTTAGCCGCTTAAGTGATCATTTTTGCGAATGTGAATATTTTCTTATGTTTTTCATTGTATCCTGACCTGTAGAATTACTTGTGCCTTTCATAAGCTCCCTTTTTAATATTTCTCTTACAGCCATGCTCCCAGTGCCCTGGAGCTTCCCTTCCTACCACTGAAATAAACCTACCTGGACTGTTACCCTTCATGCCTCGAAATACCCCTCTAAGAGGAATGAGTATAAGTGGAGGACTGCAAACTTTTATGCATGGGCACGATATCCTGTCAAGTAACATGGATGAAGCCCAATCTCATTACATATACAAGCGTGAGTGTGACATGAGTTTTTCAACAGATAGAATTTCACATCACACTAAACTTCACATCTCTATTTATAGTGTGTTATGAAATTGAGAATTATGTTTTTTAAAGCTCAAATACAAGAGGAAGGACTGGCAATTGGTTATTAAAATATTCCAGATAACTGTTATGAGTTAAGGCGACCACTGGTTTAACACTCTTGGTTCCTAATCTACGCTCTTGGGTTTATTTCCAATATCAGACAAGAAGCACAAGCACAGTAATGTTTCTCGAAGCGGCCAGACTGACATTACCTTAAGACAAATCCGAAGAACAGGAAACAACCTGCCGACCACGGGTCTCCTGTCTGATGGGAATAGAGTCATCATCACATATCACAACCAGGAGCAAGACAGCAGGTAATTAATTCTAGAGGTATAATTATTTTTCTTTAAAATGCGAGTGATCTGTTTAAATGACAAAAGAAAAGACCATGACTGTTTCCTTACACTTGATGTATTCCAGATTCCCAAATGGTGGTAAACCTCCACCCATGTAGCAGCCAGAAGACACTGATACTTGTCAATCAGCCATGACTGTGGTGTGATGATATACTATAGCATTGTGGCATGCAGGATATTAAAATATATCTTAATGGTGGTGTTTTTTGCCTTAATGTCTATGAGCACCTTCATACCTTTACTTATTCAATGAGGAAAATGTCAAAGGGCATTTAAAGTGCCTTTTGCGTTTGAACACAGCAATAAATAACTTTCTCTAGATGTTCAAAAAAATGTAAATTACATTTTGATAAATCTCCTTCACTGCTAGTTTAAACAAAAATCAGAGGCGTGTAGTGCATCCCTTTCAAATGCATTTATAATGACTGATTTTATTTTCTATCCACATATGAGGATCACTAACCATGGTAATCTGAGGATGAAAGGTTTTGGTGTCATTTCTACCATCCTATCCTCGGCCCCAAAAACACCCACAGATGTAGGGGCGTGTGAGGCTGGCATGCTGCGTCCATCAGGTCAAATGCATCCCCAACAAGTGGATAATCCAGCTTTAGCACACCTCTCTGTGGACAATAATCTGCAGTCACTCAGATAAAGATGTAATCTTGAATGAGGCCCAAATGGATTTCATCATGTTAGCCTCTTTTCAGAAAGCTCACCGTAGTTTTGCCTCTAATAGGCAAATCTCTTGTGTTGAAGCTGGAAATGAACCTACTCCACTTGATATTTATGATGTTATTTCTGATGAACATGAGAATATAATCCTTCCTGTTTCATGTCAGTTTAGCCCAGTAGTCCTGTAGTTAACTAAAAAAGCAGTCTAAGCCTTAAATGTGGAGGATACAGACGATATTGTAAAACCTTCACATTCAAACCGAAAAATGTATGATGAAAACCTCCATGTGAAAAGGCATCTTTTCCCATCCACCACCCTGTGCATAAATATTATGATGTAGAAGATGCAGACCTGTGCTGTATGTTGAGAGTGAGTTGAGACCCGGTTTTGGTTAGATATGGCCTTTGTCCTCAACTGCAAATGAGTAGTAGCAAAAGCGTTTACTGTAGCAGCAACATTTTTTAATATTCCTTTCCACCAACCTCAGCTTCAGAGTTTATGCATTTGTGGTGATAGTGTGACCACTAGGTGTCCTTAGAGCTCCATTAGCTCTCTCTTTACGACACTGCTAATCCATCCACAGTGAATTTGCCACCTGCCCTGTACTGTAGGTAGTAATTTATCAGTTGAAAGGGGATACGTGTGTATGCTTCCGATTTGTGTTTGATGCCGGCATATGCCTTTGCTGAACATGCGAGGCAACAGCCAGCTCTAGGCAGCAAAAGTGAAAAGCTCTCCCCAAACAAGCTCCTCTAATGCATGTACTTAACTTCACTTAATTTGTGTTAATTCCCAGCATTAAGCGGGGCTAATGACTGTGCAAGTGAGTGCACTGTCATTACCGTGTTCTGCCTGACATCGAATGGCAGCTGATGGACACTTAAAAAAAAAAAAAAAAAAAAAAAAAAGAAACTCTAATGCACAGATTTGGGGGCTCAGTATGAGTACTCTAATGCATTCGGAATCTCAAAGGATAATTGCATATTTTATATTTATGTACATGATGTGCAGTATGGACATGTTAAGTATAACTGTTTCTAATGCAATTGTATTTATGTGTGTGTTGTAAGCTTATAGTGAGCATACGACTCCATACAGTATGTTTTCTCTTTGCATATCTGTCAGTGTTTTTAACATTAAAATGACATTAGCATAAAGATTGTGAATAATTCATAATTTCTGAGTGAACCCAGATGCACTGCTCTCTCTGTCTATCTCTCTCTCTCTCCCTGCTCCTCCATGTGAGTAGACCACATGGTTCGTAGCTGGTTTAATGGGATGGAATGTGACAGGTTATGTTTTCATCTGCCTGATATGGAGCCCGGCTCGGGCGGGAGGAAGAAAGAGAGACAGACGGAGAAAGGGATGGAGAGGGGAAGTGAGTTGGTCTCCACAGTTGTATCCTGGATTCATAATTTGACATGTTTGTCCTTGTTGTGAATCAGTTATAGATGATGCCCCTCCCCATCCTCACCAACACACACTCACACATACACACTGAAAAACACATGCTCTGTATGGGGCCATTATTGCTGGTCCACTAACTCCCTACATTTGCTGTGTCTGTGCGTTCAGAGCACCATTAGTCCAAGACTCTGTGAATAATTGCTGAATGGACCATGTTTTCACTGCTATCTACTCAGGTTCCAGTGTTGGGGGTTGATGTAGGGGGTGAAGTGAGAGGGATGAGGACACTGATTGATGTTTGATGCCAAAGAAAACACTGCATCTTGTGCAGTGTTAATCGAAGCATTACGCACAGTATGTGCAATGCATGAACACCATTAATCTCCACATGCATTACACATTTACCAGTTTGTATTAACTTCAGAAGTGCTTCAGTAGAGCTTACAATTACATCAACATCATCACTTGACTTTGAAGTGATGCTGTAAAAATTAAATGTTCTCTCCACATTTGACTGTTGATGGCAACCAACTGCTGGCCATCATCAAAATAGAAATTATTTTGTTTTCAAAAGGTGCACATTATATCCCAAGTTCACTTTTCATCCCCACAAATACATCCTCTATTCAAAAACAATCTTGCCATATTGCTTCTCTTGAAATCTGTCATTGAGTTATCGTTGTTGCTTGTCATTTTCCTGTGATTTGTTTCCTGTGAGGTTCCCTACAATAAAGAGTGAATGGAGAGGGAGTGAAAATAAAGATAAAAGAATGGAGTGAGAGTGACAATTAGAATGAAAAGGAAAAAGCTTTTATTTTGTGTAGACATTTTGGTGAGAGCACGCCTCGCAGAAGCATTAAATCTTAACTGCTATTCATTTCTGGACTTGCGTGTGATTTATCACATTATTGAACTTGTGTGTCATTTATCACATTATTTCAATCACACAAAGTATGTTGCTTGGTTAAAATAGCAAACACAGGGTAACACAATAACAAAACAACAGACAAATACCCAATTTTCTTGTAAATTTAACGGGAATCAATTTTCAGAGGACTGTCAGATGGTCTGCTTTTTGTACACAGGCCAATTTGGTATCAGCCTTTTTTGCATTTGTGTTTCTCCGTTAATCACTCTTACATCTTATTTCAAGTAGATATTCTTCATCAGACAGCTGTAAGAAAAGTGGAGCAATGATTTTAAATAAGTGGTGCTATGGGGGGATTACAGGGTGCAATAAATGTTGTCGTGACTGACAGGCTTTTCTCTTGTTATGATTTATTGTGTCCTACACAGAGCAGAAATTGCTTTTTCAAGATTACAAGGAAACACAACCTCCTGCCCACCCTTATCCCCTCAGCCCCAGGGAAGAATAACAACAACAACAACAACAACAATAATTTAATCTCCTTTGCTCCAGACTGTTATCTTTCTTTGTGTTGATATTGTGGCCTTTTTAGTTGATCATTTCATGATCCTCCTTTTTGCCCTCTTTCCTTTCTAAGTAAATCAACATTTTGGAAAGGCAGACACTTGACCACAATCACTTTCATTATATTGAAATAATAAAATACTTGTAGGATTTGCTCTTTTTTTGTATTAAGAACATGATAATAAGGATTTAGAATGTAATATTCATATTCCTAATCCTATGTCAGTTTTTGGGGTCGACTAAGCGCATTAGATTCAGGATTTAAAGATACTGGCAAGTGCCAAGAAAAATAATTTTGGAAAAGGAGGGTGAACAACCCCTTGGCATGTGTCATTTGATGTAATTAGAATTGCAAAGAGTGATGGTCTTTTCATTATTCAATGCAGAACAAGTTTGAATGGCACAATCTTTGGTTTTCATAGAACTGGTCGATAGGGTTGAATATGATTCCCACTCACACAAAAACTGAAGTCACAGTCTAATATACCCTGGTTTATATGACTGCACTATTGTATTTGTAAATGTATATGTTAATGTTGTACAGTAATTAATAATCGTTTACGTTTAAAGTTATTCCCAGTTACATGACTTTTTGTTTTATGGTAATAAACCCTACTACTTTTTCATAGTTTTCTGTACTCACTAAGTTGGTACTTTGTGAGTATTTCTGTAACGCAGCATGCCTCTATCCAAAAGATACAAAAGATATGGATTTGTGTTGTTCTCTTTTGTATCATTAATAATGTGTGTGCGTGTCGGGTTGAAGGGGCGGGGTTGGATGTGTAGGAGGCGGGGATTATTCCGTACAGGCCAATCAGAAGACTCGCTCTCCTCTCGTCTCCACTGCTATTGGTTACAATCTGTCTGTGTATCATGCCGATGTTGCTTGGCTTTCTAACGGCTAGCTAGCAGCTAATGTTAGTGCTGGCGATTTCCGCCTGTTTCCCCACAATACTATCTATATCGTCAAATATTACACAGAGCGTAGCTGCAGTTGGGTATTCTGCTGTTGACGGTAAGTTTTTCTCACACCAGTGACACTGAAGGTTGCCAACATGCTGTTATTTACCTGTTAGTAATAGCAGGCTAACGGATAGTCCAGTTGAAAAGACTTACTGGCATTGCTAGCTAACAATAATAGAGCTAGCTAAGAAGAGACAAGAACACTCCCAGTCTCAGTCCAGAAAACAATGTACTTTTCGCTAATTGCCTGGTTTGGTTATATCAATTGAGATTCGAAATGTCCGGCTATTAGCTTGAACAGGTTACCCCACGTTAGCGCATCCACAAGCTACTGCTTGTGTGTTGTGTTTTCATGGCAACGTAGGAGCCCATGCCCCTGTCTTGTATCTCTTTTAGTGTTATATGTAACAAGCAGAGAGGGATTCATGGTTGCTTTGCTTTTAAAATGACCCCTGTTATTGGAGTCTTATATACGCGGAGGTGTTAACAACAGTTTCCACATATCAGCGACCTCAGTGAGAGTTTCAGAGATGCTCCGATAACAACATGTCTTTATCTTTTAACGCGACTAACATCCAATATTTTCACACCAATGAATGATGAAGAGATTATAGGTGCCAAAGGGTTTAGGCTTTTCAGACATGTCTGCCCTGTTGTAAACAGATGGCTTTAAAATTATTCTGTTAATGGTATCACAGCTATAAGAAGTGACATTTTCGCTGGGTTA